TATTGCATTTGCCAAGTCCTCTTCGGAGGTTGTACGCTTAATGGAAGTCACCATCCTAAGCCCACCAACCTTCAAGCTCAGCCCTTACGGCACAGTCGGTTGGAGTGGAGACATCCCCTTCAATATATGTCCCACCATCTCCATCTTCTTCTTCATGCCTACCCTTACATGCATGGTGCCATTTGGGTCCTACTCCACAACTATTCCTAACCCAAAATCTAATCTGGCAACTTCATTATTTTATGTAGTACCTCTTTTTGTCTGGAAAAATGGGTTCGAAAGGAATGGCCAACATAGCTAATTAACTTTTGTAGTCGAATTAATACTTTCTCTTGATGATGTTTTACTTATGCAACTACAATCCTAAGGCAGTTCGTGATACTTGATTCTTAGGAGGTTTAGGGCATATGGTCTGAGCAAAACTTACTTGGAGGACTGGAAAAAAAAAAAAAAAATCCAATGTCTAGTTTAACTGAACTTTGTACCATTATAGACCACCAAAGGAAATACGTAGCTATGCAAATTGAATAGTGGATGCCACCTAGCTATCTATATCTAAGCCCATGTCTCTATAGTAAAAGGGTCACCTTCATCCGTTGTCCTAAGATCAAAGGTTTTGAACTTGAGTGGCCTAGACATTGAATGAAACGTTGAAAACTATCATGTATGGACAAGCACCTTTAAAAAACTCACGACTTTATGTTTTCCTACAATTATGGGTGATTGTCTTCAAGAATTAGGTGGTAGTACAATCTCAACAGTCGACCGTACATCATTTCTATCGGGCTATTTACTGGCCAGACTTCAACATTCACGAGGGGGGTGGGCAAGGGTAGTAAAAATTTCAAGAACAACTGCGTCATATTTCAGGATTGTTATTATTTGCACAAAAATTATTTATTTGCACTCTGTAGAACCAACCTGGAGCACGTACCAAACAGGAGCGGGCGAGCCGACCTGTAATGAGGCGTACAGTGGGACTAACTCTCCGTTGTTACTCCGACTTGCAACGAGGCATACAGTGAAACTAATTCCCCGTTGTTACTCCGACGACGCTCAAGTCAATTTCAAATAACATCCGATGACGCTCAAGTCAATTTCAAATAACATTTCAAATAATAATTCAAACAAACTACTATCCAAATAACATATCAAATAATTTTAAGCATGCCCCCGAAAAGATTGAAGCAAGAAAAATATGGTTGCATGTTTTGTCTAGGATCTTTGCTCCTTCAAGATTTGAATGTGACTCGCGAGTTTCCATTATATTAAATTTTTCATTCCTATATTTTAACTTGAGGGTTGGGGGGGGGGGTCTGATTCTAGATTTCGAATCCCATCAAAACAACTGCTGATTTGCACAGAGTTTAGAAATTCTAGGTTCTTCCAATTTCGTGATTCTTCAGTTGTTGTGAAAATCTTGACTCTTGAGGACTGAGATGGTGGGTGGGTCGGTGCCGAGAAAATTCGGGATCTAGCAAGTATAGGCTCACAAACCTGACAATCCAGGTTGGATTGGCTCTTTTGGAATTTAATAGTTTGGCACCACCCTAAAGCTTCAACTTGCCTCATTTCAAGGTTTTGATGATTTCACTTGTACAATCTTTGAGGTTTTGAGTTCATATGTGTGCTTCCCTTGCTTTGTGTTTACATTAAGAAAAAAAATTCATTATACGGGTTCGTTATAATTGCATAGTTCTCTCTAGGCTGTTGCACATAAGTTTTCAAGCTCAGCTATTTTTCCATTTTTTCTAAACATGTCTCTTTTTTTTTTTTCACTTCAAATTGTTATATCAATTCTTTACGAGTTTTGCTAAGGTGAAAATAGTTTTACTTGCAGTCAGTTTATATTAGTAATTCTTCGTGCAAACAGACTGATTTTGAAAACATTAAGAGTGCCAAGTGAAATTATTAGAAATCCCAGAGAAAATTTTATAAATCTATCCTATTCTTAGTTCAAGTTTAGAGTTTGTTCCTCTTCTATAATACTTCTGCATAAATTGTTACATACTTCTGCATAATGGTTTAATGAAAAATAGCGCAACGGATCTTCTGTCCCACACTCTGTGCCACTCTCTGTCCCACTTTTTATTATATTGCTATTTCTCCTTCACAAACATCATGTTTTAATTCCTTTTTATTTCCTTATGATCCAATAACCATTAATTGAGTAATACACAAAATTTAACAAACTCAAAAAATCAAAATGCATACAAAATGAGATTTTTTATGAATTTTCTGCTGTATTTTTTAATTTTCTATTATATATTAGCTTTTTGAAACTGTTGCATTTATTTTTTACTCAATTAATAGTTATTGGATCATAAGGAAATAAAAAGAAATTAAAACATGATGTTTGTGAAGGAGAAATAGCAATATAATAAAAAGTGGGACAGAGAGTGACACAGAGTGTGGGACAGAAGATCCGTTGCGGAAAAATAGTCGCAAATTGGTGCATCCAACACTTGCTAAGTCGGATGTTTGGAAACAAAAATTGCATCTTTGATCAAGTTACGTTACATCTTCCTAAAGCATGTTAAGTATATCTAAGTTGGGGACGGGTGATTCGAGACAAGGGAGTGTAAGTAACTAAGAAATCCTAAGTTCAAACCTTCTCGCTTATACTAAAAAAAAAAAAAGATGTATATCTAGGTTGGCTAGGGAAAAACTCTTAGGTTGTGTTTGGATTGCATTTTCCGTCATTTTTCATGGAAAAATTATTGTAGCAATTTGATATATGTGAAGGAAAAAGGTGATAGGGAAATGTGATCATGGAAAACGACAATATTTTCCGACGGAAACAAGCAATCCAAGCATGACCTTAGGATTCAGATCATGTATCTAATAATTGAGAATAATAAAAAAAAAAGGCGTGAGAAGGGATTTGAGGGTAAAGAAAAAAATGTATATTCAGGCGATTATCATCACTCATATAATGACACAACACTAGAAGTAGTACCACCAAGTTATCCTTAGTTTCAAGAGAAATGCCAATGTAGAACAACTAATTTTCAAAAACCACATAGGAAAAAGATTCTCCAAAGTTGGTCTGATACTTGTATGTCTCGCACGTCTACTTCTTTCTAAGCATTAATTGAATAATATGTTTGGTTCATAAGAAGCTTTGTTGATGCATGCAGACAGCTATGCACGTGTTAAGCAAGAAAACATAGGAAGAACAACAAATGATGTTGGGATTGACCCAATAAGCTCCTGGACAAATTTGTTTTATGATAGGTGTTTTGGCACAATTGATTTATCTCCACAACAAAACAATTGCAGCCCAACTGACAGTTTTGTTGGCTCTCTTTTGTTGGCGTCCACCACATAGAATACAAATCCAAATTCCTGGATCTCGCGGTCACTTCTTGCCAAATTTCGTAGTATAATAAAATTTGGTATTTCTTCATTGATGAACAAAAAAAATACTTACATCCAAACACTTACTTTCTAATTGCACTGTCTCTGTCATTTTCACGAACCACTAATCTCGCTTAAACACACATCTCAATCAACTTAATTTTCTTCCTAACAGGCTAGCCCCACCCTTAGTTGATTGATATGCATTTCCTTAATTAATCCTATTGGACTTCCTTTGTCGTGAGGCGTCTCGAGCAGTGCTTTGTCATATACCCCACAAAGAAATTACTAGCATTTAGCAGCCCAGATGTTTGCTGAAAAAATTGTGCCCCCGCGGATTTGAGCCTGTTTGGATTATTATTTTCTGGAGTTTCGTTGAAAGGTGTGTTGTAACGATCTAATGCACATCAGGTAAAATGGTGATTGGCAAATGTATTTATGAAAAATGTAAAAATTTTTTGGAGAAAAGTCACAATCCAAAAAACTCTGAAAGGACCTTCAAATAGACACATACATATAAGGGACATATAAGGACCTTCAAAAATGATCACGTGCCTTGCACGTGATGGATTTCGGTCAAAAAATGATTGGAAACTTAGTTTGAGACTAAATTTGACTAATGTAAATATGTAAGGGACATAAAATTACACTTTTAAAAGTGAGGGATGAAAAAAATCATTTTACAAAATATGAAGGATGTTTTGGACGATTTTTCCTTTTTCCTTTTCATATTTTTTCTTTACTTATTCACATGACATATCATGTAACATATTAAATACATTTTATTAGGAAGACAAGGGTGCGTAGCTCTTGATTTCAATCATGAGAGAAATTTTTTTTTTTTTTTTTTTTTGTGTTTTAGCTATTATATCATATCCACATATTTGTTGGCTCGAGATTTATTACCCAAAGTTTATTTGAATATGATTTATTTTTGAAAAATGAAATATGCGAAATGATTTGTTTGGATGTAGTATTATTTAAAATAATTACTGTAATATTTTTTGTAATGTGCTGTATATAAAATAAAAACGTAATTAAAAATATAAAAAAATGTGTTGAAAAATGTGTTTATGCCGTAGGTGAAATAAGTGAATTATTATTTGGAGAAATTTGCTATCCTAATAGATGCTAAAAAGGTAAAGCACCAAATTGCATGAACCTGTTATTATGACAGTAATATAACTGAATGGCTTCTAACAATCCGTTAATGAAATTTACTTTTTATCAAAAAAAAAAAAAAAACTACATTAGCTTGAATGAGCACTAATACATAAATTTGGATGGCAAATAAATAAAATTAAGATCTAAGGCTCGGAAAAAGAAATACAACCCAGAGGGCGGGGTAAAGTAACATATGAAAGTGACAGCGAAGTCAATGCAGATTAGTGGAATCAATCAATGAAAACATTCTTCGGGAGATTACGCTTTACAAAAGTCCAACTTAACAAAGTTAAACTTGTATTCTTCTATATTATTGTAGAGATTCGGCTGTCGATTTCACCAAAGTTACAGAGATCATGTTGGAAGAATTTCACACCCTTGGAATTATTTGAAGCAAAAAATTAAGATCTAATTTCACGAAAAAAAATATGTTCACGAAAAATGTAAAAAAATTTTCTATGGAAAACTGACTAAAATTTGAAAGAGAAAAACCACAGTAAAAGTAGTATTGGTGAAAGAAGATCAAATCTGCAGGCTAATGATTCAACATCGAAATGCATGAGAATGAATCATCAAACATCAAATACCCTGCATTTTATCTCATCATCATGAAAGAAAAGCAAACATATTAATCCTTAACCTGTCTGTACAAGCAGCTAAAATCATTGCAGACGTGTAAGTTGAATAACATGTTCTTCTGCAGTTCTCGAAAGCAGCAGGAGCTTATCCAGAACTAATTACACCTTGCCTGAGTGAATAGCCAAAACATTACATCAATTTATTCATCTCCAGTTGGAAGATTTTCCAATCACAAAGATTCAACTGCTCTGCCATATCAACGGCAACAATCGGGCTCAGTCAAAAGCTAATATGGTATTGGAACCCTTTTAGCGTTAAAGATTTCACTGGATTTGGTACTATCAGGGCAATTCAAGCCGTTTCCGGCTGAATCCCAATTCACGAGACACAGAAGAAAGCATACTAGATACCTCGTTGCATAGGTTAATCTTCAAACTCTTGCAACTGATACCCCACTGATACAGTTTTATTGAGACGCATCTTGTCACATTCAAAAATTTTGGGACATAAACAACTGGCCATAAGATGAAACAATATGCTTTAAAAGGAGGTAAAAGTAACACTTCCGCAATTTAGTTTGAAATCTCCTCCTGTATTCAGCGGAGGGAGCTTTCCTCAATTGACATTGAGCACTCCCTTAGGCTGTATAACCCCATAACTTCCTGAAAACTAGCATGCCAAACATGAAACTGGATGTCCTTCCAACCATAACCAGAATAAGATGATGCCAACAAACATCAAAAGGACAACTCATATTACCTTTGATTTTGAAACTCATGAGCTTTATGCAAACACCAACATGCCTGAAGAAAATGGAGTTGCTTACAAAATCAGAAATTGTGCACAAAAAAAACAAAACTAAGTTAGCTCCCACCACCAACCCCGTCTTCATGTATTATTACTCCAATACCGACATTGGAGCTGAATTTTGCACATTAATTTCCAAAGTAGTATTACGGTGTGTTAACGAGCATTCTCAAAGATGGAACAATGTCACTGTATTCAAACAAGAGAGTTCTCTTATCTATGCATATTTAGATATTGAGAACTTTGAGCCACTGTGATTCAAGCAACCATGTTAATTGATGCAAAAAGATGCAAGTGAAAAGGAGAACAACAGTAGAGATGCTGCACATATTTGCCTCAATGAAGATTCATGTAAACCCATTATCCTGTCCTTTTCTCCACTTCTTCCCAACAGAGAATTCATGGGGAACCTGGTATGAGGCTTTTATGAATAAGAAAGAATATCAAGAATGGATATGGTCATACGAGCTATTTTGAAAACAGAAGACTGCTTTTAACTATATGGACAATTATTTTAAGACATGCGTCAAACCATTAAAAGCAGAAGAATTTGAGACGAGACTTAATGTCCCAAGTTCTAACATTCTTGAACCAGAGCAGTCTTGTTATGAACTGAATTCAGAAGATCAGTCAGACGCATAAGAAAAGCTTTAGATAAACTTGGTTAAAGTTGCATTGCAGCTGAGACATATAGGTGGCTTCATTGCTATTGAAAGAGAGAAGATATTGATTATACCATTTGCATGATTATCAACTTTAAGTAATCACTGAAGCGTTTTACGATCATCCATTGACTGCACTGGGAATGCTTTTTGAAACAGAAAAGTGGAAGCAAATGCACGGCTCAACTTCTTTGCCTCTTTATTTATTGCTTTACATAGTAAAGTGAAAGTCTAACACAAAAAGTGACCCAGTTATTTAAGCCATAGCAGGACTGGCAAGGATTAGTCAAAAGTATATACAAGGTTCCAAACCTACAATTTACAAGATTGTCATTTGCAGAAGAGCTAATATGAACATGATTGACACATACAGAAGAGCTAATAAGAACACACAACAGAAGGGTTCTTCAGAGCCATTTGTTATGTGGATACCTTTACCTGCCTCCTTTTAGCTGCTGAATTGCATTAAACAACTTCCGACGAGGCCCAACAGAAACAATTCCCATGTCTTTCAAATCTTCAAAAGTAAGAAAAGGCAGAGTTTCTTCATCAACTTCGTGCATTTCAAACAATTCAGCAAACTTACCAAGACCAAGCTCTTCCAGCCATAGGCTGACACCATTTACATCACAACCACTGGATTCTTTATCATTGTGTCCTCTAGCAAATTGCAGAAAGGTTGCATTCTCTTCATAGCAAGCACCCTCAATCGAGAAGCCTCTGGGCTTCTGCAGCGGCCCCCTACTATTCAGGTCATCAATCTCGTTCTCCCAAGCTTCTTTGCTCCTTGCTGATGTTTCATTCTGCGAAGAATCCTTAAAGCCATTAACAGGAAAGATGTCTAAATCAGCAGCTGATGTGCATGCAACATTTTGATTCCACCCATAACCTTTCTCATCTTGAACAGTTTTCTGCCTACCAGTTTTTGAGTTCCAAGGATTACCAAATAGACTACAAGTGCTATTAGGGTTCCGTTTTCTTCGCTTCATGAGCCTAGACCTCCGAGTTATGGTTCCAAAATCCAGATTACAATTGGTCATATTTCTTTCATCTGAATTGACAAATTCAGATGCTACTTTTAAAGAGTTAGGGTCCTTGTTCTCTCTGTTATGTTGGATATCATTGATAATCCTCGGAGAAACACTAGGATCCAAGATTGTATGCTCAGGTTGTTTTTCAGTAGAAAACTGGAGGTATTCTGACTCCCCAACGTCAGAAAACTTTCTTTTCCATCTCTTCTGCCCTAAACTTGCACCACTTCTATGATAACTCGCACGTGCGAAGGCTGCAGGTAGATCACCTATTTCCCATAACCTAACATTTGGTCTTCTTATCCTCTTTGAATTCACGCTAAATATCACCATTTTCACATATCCTAAGACTCAGAAACCGAAACCCCTGAAAACACAATCCAACGCAATGAAATCTCAGAACCACTACAGGGTAAATCAACCTCAATGGTTGAATTAACAACACCAAAACTTCAAGAATCTCAGCAAAATCCCAAGATAAACATAACATTCGGATATAAGCTATCCAAATTAGGAAATCCCAAATCATCACAAGGCACAACCATGGATACAATTGAATGCATCAAATTCAGTGCTAGAATCAAGCGAACACAAACAGAGAATTCAAGAATTTAAAAACAACTTCAGCATCAGAAATGAGCCAGGTAATTCAACAAAACCATCAAAAGCAACATAAAAGATGGCAAATTTAACAGGAATCAGGCCCTCAATTATAAGACAGGAAAATCAAAGTAATCACAGAATCCATTTACTCAGATAGCACCTAAAAGAGCTTAAGAATAAGGCTCGTACGTGTTACTAATACCTTTCTCGCAAAGAGACTCTTTCCAAAATAAACTGCTGAAAAACAGAGAGCCTTTTCTGATTCTGCGAACACTCAAGCGAGGAGAGAAGTTAAAGACTCAACAGGGCTTCTAAGTTTCCTCAATCACAGAGTGACAAAACGACATACACTTGGCAAAATCTTAGTTAACAGACAGGAGTTGAGCTCTTTTATTGAATCTGGAGAAAGTCGGTGGACATCTAGCAAGTCTGAAATAATTTAATGAGATCAAGGAAGTGATGCTGTCAGCAAGGAAAAAGTTTAGGCTACCCTTTTAGTGCAACATACCATTGGCATCATCCAAGTGGCAGTTTTCTGACAAAGTCGACAACTTTAATCTTTGGCTATGTTTTTCTTGGGACAAGATGTTGAGTACTGTGTACTCATGTTCCATAAAAGGCATTTTACTTTTGTTTATTTTATTGAAGACTATGGGCACTTAAACGGATAGCAGGAGCAATTTTTTCCGACTTTAGTCCATGGCAGTTCACATTTGAAGCAGAAGATTGTTACAAGACAATCGAAAAGCAGAAAATTTTTTTTTAAGACGATAAACCTAATCTATCACTGAGTCATCACTGAATCAGACGGATGCATAATACACTTGTTTGAATTTCTTTTGGTGTGGCATTTTGGTGGGAGGTAAGGTTAAGATTGTGTTTGGATTGCATTTTTCATGGAAAAAGTATTGTAGCAATTTGATGTATGTGAGGGAAAAAAATAATAGAAAAATGTGATCACAAAAAATAGCGTAATTTTCCGACGAAAAGTTGTAATCCAAACAAGGCGAGACAAGGTTTGAACCCCTGCCTCTTACCTCACCAACTAGGTGGTGGCTACTGAGCCAATGCCCAGTGATTGAGAAGCAGAAATTTTCTAGAGGAGGGAATTTTGCATGATATTTGAGTACACATGGGCAATTGGGATTTATAATTTTACATTACTTAGGGACAAAAGTCACAAAATAAATGTACTGCATGGTCACTTTCTTTTCTTTTTCCCTCAGTTCTTGGTGATTTATTTTATGTTCGCTCATGAACAGTTCGATTCATTTATAATTCTAAATAAAACAAATGCATTGCATGGTGACTTTTTTTTCCTTTTTCCCTCCGTTCTTGGTGATTTATTTCACGTCTCTATCCGCATCACTTTATATATATCGGAACGTGATCGAATATTCAAAAGTTGCTTACAAGTAACTTTTAGACAGTAAAGTAACCACATAGTTTTCTTTCTTTTATTCAGGAAGAGATGATGTCAGATCAGAAAAATCAGGTGCCTCTAGAATTGAGAATATTGTGTGGTGCCTTTGTCCAAATGACTATCTACCAATCTACAGTCCCATTTGTAAACACGGTCTGACAATTGAGACGCAACGAATCTTCTGTTTCACATCTTGTGCCACTCTCTGTTCCATTTTTTATTATATTGTTATTTCTCATACATAAATATTATGTTTTAATTCTTTTTTGTTTTCTTAAGATCCAATAACTATTAATTGAGTAAAAAATAAATACAGCAGTTTCAAAAAAGTAATATATAATAGAAAATTAAAAAATATAGCAAAAAATTCATTAAAAAATCTCATTTTTTTATGCATTTTGATTTTTTGAGTTTGTTAGATTTTATTTTTTACTCAATTAATAGTTATTGGATTTTAAAGAAACAAAAAAGAACTAAAACATGATATTTATGTATGAGAAATAATAATATAATAGAAAATGGGACAGAAAGTGGTACAGAGTGTGGGACAGAAGATCCGTTCTGCAATTGAGATGTGAAATTTGAGTAATGTTCTTTAACTACCTTTCGGCCTTTAATTGACAATTGAGATGTAAAATTTGAGTAATGTTCTTTTATTTGAGTAAAATTTGAGTAATGGGCCTTTTGCCCACACGGTTTTCACTTTCCTATGGTCCTCGATGCTAATGTATTCGGAGGCGCCCATAGACCGCTCCGTAGCATATGGACTTAGTCATATTGGACCTGTTAAGGCAGCAGACCTCTAAGCGCAGTTCATATGTGTATTCTAATTTTGACTTAGTTTTGAAATGGATATTGGACATGGGCATGGGCTTAACTAATGGGCATAGCGATGGAGGATTCCTAAGTTGCAAGTCTCGTACCAAATGCAACATATTCCGTCAATATTCCGTCTTGCAAAGTTGCTGGCTAGGATTGCAAACAATTGAATCAAATCCAACTTTGATTTTATCAAGTCAGTGTCTCGACTTAATTTTTATCAAACGACTAGACTTAACTTTTATCAATCGAATGGAGTTTTAACTCAATTTGCTTGCGATTAGCTCGCGACCAACTCGACCCGTATGCAGCCTTAATTGCTGCATTTCTTTGATTATATTTGTTTCCTTCTGCATCCACTTCCTTGGTTGTCCCTTTTTTTCCCTTGTAAAAATACCCAGATAGAGCTGCATCTTTAGCTGGGCATAATTGCTGCATTTTAGTTTTACGCTTTCTTATTCAGAATTGGAATTTTTTTTTCATTTTAATCCTCCCACTCCTTTCTATACCCTTTCCACTGTCAATTACTATTAGGTATAAAAATCATAAACTTAGTAGCAAGAAAAGACTCTATCTAAAAGGCCTTCGCTAATTACTGAGCAAACTCCAGCGGTAATTGAGATTAAAAATATTAATCTTTAACAATAACCCCTCTTAGTAGTACTTTGTTTTGCGTGAGATGAGACATTTAGTAGAGCACACCAACTCTGTACTATACGTCAAGGTATAACTAATTCCATTAACTTGGCGTAGATTAGGAATCCCCACTTTGTTTTACAGCTCTGCCTGTCCACTCTCAGGCAATAGCACAAACAGAGAATAATGAAGATGCGCCTCAATTCTTACAAGAGTTAATTATTGCAGCAAGATATTTAAGGCGCCAAAGACTTTTCTCCATGCCATTAACACTTAACCCCCAGGAAACCCAAAACTATTATGGAGTACCATCACAATCAACACTTCATTACAACCAAAAAGGAAAAAGCTAACAAATAAATGCATGAGAATTGATATTTGCACTTTTAAATTAGCCTCTCGCTGTCTCGCGCTCCAATTTACCTATTGATGACTAAAATACCACCGAGAAGTGCAAGATTTAGGACTGAGAATATCACTTCTCTAAATAAACATTATAAATTTTCAAACTTCTCACAAGAAAGATGGAAAAATAAAAAAAAAAAATTTGTAGAATGATTTCTTAAATTCTTAGGCTACAGCAGAATGCAGTATTCACTCTTTAATGCCTTTTTTTTTTTTTTTTCCGGACACGATAGACATACATTTACTCTATATTAGAGAAAATCTAAAGAGGTCGAAAAGAATTCGAAGGAAACTAAATCACCGCGGATTCAGACGAATGTCTACGCCCGCTAACAAGCTACAATTTCAATAAAGCCCGAATTTTTATACTCCTTCCGTCCCACTTTAATAGTCCCATTTCTTTTTTCACACAGTTTAAGAAAAAGTAATTAACTTTGTTGGAAAAGTAAATTTAGATTGCTATTTTTTTAAAATACTCTTACATTAAATATGGTACAACTTTATGGGAACTTGAATTGATGGTAAAAAAAGAATCAACTCTCATTAAATGGGGTAGGTTTATAGTAACAACAACTTACATTGAATAAGGGTATTTTAGAAAAATTAAAATACAACTACATTCTTCAATTGAAAAGTGGACTACAATTTGGGACAGATGAAAAAAGAAAATGAGATTATCAAAATGGGACGGAGGGAATAACGTTGATAAGATAATTTGATCCATCGCGTGCACCCCAAGTAGAGTTTTGGTTACTCTTTAATGCCCAATTGACTAACTTCGTATTGGACTAGATGGCCCATGTGTCCCCCACGCAGCTGCATCCCGTCACACTCTTCCAAGACCCTAACCGTACGCCCCACTCACTCCACTGTAATTTGACCTTTTCAGAGTCTATCTGTAAGGAGTTATGCAAAAATGTCCTCACATTTGTGAATTATTATTGTGTTTTAGTCGATTACTTATAAGTGACTTGAGACTGCATTGGTCTCGAAAACACTTTCGTAGGTTTAAAACCAAAAATGGTTCAAAACCCCTTTTCACATCACTTTTCCTACTTGTAATCATGCCTAGTTTGAGCTGCAAACATACATCACCTTTCTTCAAAGAAAAAGGCATGTATGCATTACTTTAGTCTATCGAAAATTATCTGACATGACTGCTCTCGCGAGTCTTAATTTTTGTGAAATTTCAAATATAACTTGAAATAGTTATACGCAAATTCATATTTCATACTTATTGAAAAAATTAATAAACTTTTGTGAATGTTGTTTGTTGCTCCCTATTTGCAATGATTCTAATACTTATTTAACAAACAAACTAATGTTGGAAAAACTCTCATTTAACCGAGCTTGATGCAAAGTAGTTTATTTTATCTTTTAACTATTAATAGAAAGGAAAGCGTGAGAAACATTTGATGTTATATACACCTTTCTTATTGAGGTTAACATGCATTTGGTTTTGTGTTTCGTTTTAAAAGCAATCCTACCAAAAGGTAGCTTTTATATGAGGAATGGGATGAAAATAGCAAAATGTTGAGTACATGACGGACTCAAAAAACAATTATTTTGATTGTGACAAATTAAGAGAGATAACAACAAATATGAGGGACTATTTTGCAAATTTGCTCATCTTAAAATCGCCTTATAGTAGGAAGAAAAGGTCGTCTTATGTTCATCATCAATAGATTCAGAATCCAAATTCATATCGCAAATTGTGTAAAAGTAATAAAAATAAAAGTCCCTTAACCTACTGAAAATTGCTTGAATAATGGATTTCTGGCAAAGAGCTCGGAGCTTCGCCGAGGAAGCTGCGAAGCGTTCGCAGGAACTGACTAATGGAATTAGCTCCTCCAAGCTCTCCGACGTCGTTTCGGAAGCTTCGAAGCGGTCTATGGAGATCGCCGCCGAAGCTTCGAAGAAGTCTAAGGAGATCGCCGCTGAAGCTCTAAAACGCGCCGACCAGATCAAGTCTCAACTTCCTCCGGCAGCCGTAGCGCTGTCGAACCTCGTCGATACAAGTTCTCAGGCGGCGACTCCTCCGGCGGTTTCGGCCGCTGATCTGGAGAAGTTTGGAGTTACCGATGAGTTGAGAGAGTTTGTACAAAGCATTACGATGAATACTTTTCGCGATTTTCCGCTCGAAGGTCAGTGAATTTTGACGAAATTGCTTCTCTTTTTGTTTCTTTGATCTTTGCTGGTTGTGGGAATCAGGGAAATGGAGAATGTGGATTGAGAGTTGCGGTTTTCTTGTTGCAGATTCAGCTTTTGAGAATTTAGGATTTTTCTGTAGAG